AACACAGTGTGGTTTTGTATTCTAGAGGTGGAAGGTGGAGTGTGCCTGAGGGGAAGCATGTAAGGAATCATAAATGTGAAGAGATCCTGCTGGATATACAGTCAGAACCTTACAGAATGTTATGCTGGTGAAGAAAGGAGGAATCTAGCACTTCTGTTCTAGAGATGAAAGTTTATTAAGCACCTGGCAGTGTCCCCTCTACTCCTCTACCCAGTGTACTTTGGGCCTTTGTTCAAGAGAAGATGAAGATGAATTCAGGAGGCTTCTTAGTCTTGTCCCTGGAGTTTAAAGGATTTCATTGTTTTTTCAATCCAGCGTTGAAAGGTTGAGATCCTGGTGTAGACACGTGGAGGTATCCCCTCCTCTTTCCCAAAGGACACAATGCCCTGGGCCACGTTTTTACACACAAAGGGGCCCCCAGAGTCTCCCTGTGGGTAGAGAAAACACCATTAGCTGGCCTCCTCCAATTCTCACACCTGGCCTCTCCACTGGGGGTGGACACTTTGTTTGTGAATTCAGAAATAGGGTAGTCTCATTCAGTCCAAGGGAAGGGGTCCTCAGACTGATCCTGACTACTCCTTCCAGTTGATTAAGACCTCTCCTCCCCCAGTAAGTCTGTTTCCATGAAGTGACCAATGACATTCAGTTTCCACTGACCCCAGGACCAGAGACTGAATTGGTGAAAGGCTGAGTACATAGGGGCATGAGTAGTTCCCTTTGCCATGGTTCTCCTCAAACTCTGCTGTGCCCAAGGCAGGGAATGGTTAAGGCTGGTGACTCACCTTAAAAGAAGTCTTGTTCTCCTTTGGATTCCCCACACACATATGGATGGTGGAGTTGTAAAACATTTTGAAACGAGAGAGACATTCCTTGTCCTTTTGGATTTCAAGCTGTACCTCATGCAGTTTTGTTGTGGATGTATTTTGGCCAATGAGTCCCCAGCCAGCCACAGTGCACACCATCCCTGGTGTAACCTGGGATTTTCTTGAGGGTAATTTGAGGAGGCTCACCTCAGCAGTGAGCTTGGCCTTCTTTTCCAACTAAAAGGAGATAAAGGCAATTTTTTCAACAAATAGTCCACAAAACTCCAGACAGTAATGGGGTTGCCTTCTTCATGGCATTGGGACAAGTGAAGCCTTCATTTTAGGAAGGATGGTTGGACAGAAGGACAGCAGATTTAATCCTCCAGGATTAAAGTGTGCAAGACCCATTGGAATGGCATTCCTCACCTGCAGTAACATGATGTCATTGAAATAGCTGCATTTGAAATCTGGGTGGGGGAAGACTTTTT